ATTCATCTGGCGGAGAGATTAAAATTATCTTAAAGACAAATAAAAATCTGGTTCCAAAATAGAAGGATGAAATATAAGAAAGAATCTGGTCGAGCTGCGTCGCCTCAAAGTGTGAGAAATGATATGGCCGAGAGTTTGGGAACCTTACCGGCGCAACTGAACCCCAATGAAATTTCACCTGCTACTAATGAACCTCATGTTCCTCGATATTTAGTACAAGCATCAATGCAGTGCTCACTTCCCGGTGCAAATGGTCAAAACCCAATCAAACGATAAGATCAACAGTACCAGTTTCTGTGCACTCCAGAGCCGTCCCCAGAGCAAATTTCGTTCAACAACTTTAATGGCACTGGAGACCAGATTCAACCGACCAACGAAGTGTTCCCTTATGGTAACCTAATGAACACCCAGTTAAATGATTTTTCATCTTATCCTTACACGCAATTGATTACGTCTACTGATGATAATAGTGTAAACGGTCAATTGTATGAACGGTATAACCAGGTTCCGCAGATGCTGGAACAACACCAGAATCCAGTGTGGCATGGTCAGCACGATGTGGCCAATGGATCGGCATCAATCACTAGTTTATGATTTATAATATTTTTATGTAACGATAGTGTATAGTACGGTATATAATTAGTAAATATTCAGCTTGGACATGGTTCTTGAAATAAAAGTGTAAATTAGCCAATAACACGTGACGTCACGCTGTGGCGGGAACTCAGCGTTTGACAAGCGCCGTGAAACTCCATAAGTGACAATGTTAACATTTTCGCATTTTATTTAAAAGTGTGGGTATTTATCTAGAAAATAAACACGTGAATAGCTTCTTTCATATCTTTTCTGTGTATCTGGGTGTTTTTTTTGGCGATTTGAATTAAAAAAAAAACATAATAAAAATAAAAATACAGAACGCTGTTTTGGTCTGAATTCCTCGTCACCCAAAATACATCCGTGTGTTTTAAGCGGTAACTCGGAAATTAATATTTTCGTTTGAGGTAAATGTGACGGGTTTAAGTGAAGGTGTGTGATTTGTTTTTAAAGTATGGAGAATTTAAGTGCTTATGCACGATGTCTTTCTGTCAAAGAGAAAAACAGATATGTACAAAAGTTAAACAATTTAAACGGCGTAGATCCTTATACAATGAGTGCAAGTGATTTTAATTTGTATTTAGACGATTTCTCTACCAAAACAATGAATACATTCTAAACTTTTTTATTTTTGGAATAAGTAAAATAACCCACAATGAAATTCGTGCATTCAAAACTCTACAGGCATTTATTCAGTTTTCTCTTTTTTAAACGACTGTGTCTTTCAACATTACAAGTATTATGAGTGGATTTATTTTGATATCCTAAATTTTGTTATAGAGCATAATCAGGATGGTCCACATCCGACAAATCTGCGGGTTTACCTAAAAGAGCACCAATGTAGTAATTTATTAGAAACTGTAAATCTAATAGGTAGTTACTGTACCTAAAATAAAATGATCCGAACAAACATAGGAATACTTTACTTTGGCTTCGTTAAATCCACTCGTTTCAAGGCTTTTAACCAAAGCTTCCGCCTTTTTTCCCCAGCAATTAGCAACAATAAAGGTAAATATATACAGGGTATATATTTACCTTTATTGTTGCTAATTGCTGGGAAAGGAAAATAAAATTTGTCCGCATTTCTGGTGCTTCGATTCGCGCAACCCATAACAGCATAAAATTTAGGCATTTTCTCCTAAAATACAAAATATTATAATATTAAGATGCTAGTGTATTTAAAAAACATTGATGTACATTAACAAAGATTTAATTTGCAAAACAAATAATATAAGATGCAGCGAAGTTAACCTGTACATCACATTGGAAAACATTATTTTTTAAGCATATTCAAACGTTATGGTGCGTTTTACAGATATCTACACAATCTAGAAACTGTAACAAAATTACCAAACTATAAAAACACAGTTAACACACTCTCAAATTTAAATGAATTCCGAAAATATTAGCATTGACTCTTATGAGAAAACCGGCTAGTTGTCAAACGCTGCCATCTTGATAACCTCGGATGACGTCAGTGTATTTGGCTAATTATAAAATTTGAGCCTTCGAGTTTTATTTATTTTTGTTGTATCAACCCTTAAGCTAAAATAATATGCAGTTTGTTATTTATTAGCCACAGCAGTCATAAATATGCATAATAAATAATGACCATAATAGTTTAAGGCATTACCGCAGTAATGAAATGTACCCTTATGGTAATTGTATGAACACTCAATTAAATGATTTTTCGTCTTATTCGGACACACAATTGAGAACATCTACTGATGGTAGTGTAAACGTTCAATTAAACGAACAAATTAACCAAATTCTGCAGATGCTGGAACAACATCAGGATTCAGTGTGGCACAGTCAGCAGGATGTGGCCAGTGGATCAGCATCGTAAAATAGGTTATGATTTATATAGTATTTTATATGTAGCGATAGTGTACAGTACGGTGTAAATGTGTAAATAATAAAATTGAACCCCTTGAACTTTATTTATTTTTCTTATACCAACCCTTAAGTTAAAATAATATGAGTTTGTTACTTATTAGCCACAGCAGTCATAAATATGCATAATAAGTAATGACCATAGTTGTTTAAGGCTCCTCCTTACAGTCATTAAAATCTGCCGAAATACGGCAAAACGCCACTTCCAATATCATCCTTACTCTCTACTTGTTCGTAATTCGAAAATCTGCATGGAAATAGTTTCTGTATTGCATTAAAGGCTTTCGGTTTTTCAATAAAAAATAAAAACAGAAAAACGTATTTTTCTTTTTGAGCCAAAGCTATAACGTATTTTGGCTTAAAAAAATCTGTCAGTGTAGATAATATTATTGCTCACCTGGGAATAAAAATTATTTTTTCGTTAAACTATCCATTTTTTAGTTATTGTTGATTAAAGCACGACCTAAAAAGGGCATTTTTTGTAAATGTAGGCAACCAAACATCCTCTTTCGTCAAGATGGAGCCAAGCAAGTGTATGATTTACGATAGGGGTTGGCCACTTGGCCACTATTGAGAGATTAGACGGATTTCCTTCTGATATTGTTGATGCATTTGCCTGTTATTTTCAGTCTTCTTATACTCAATTTTCTGACAATAACTCCTATATAGGTACTTACAATTTAAACACACCAATGCTCTATATTAAAGAAATTACTAAGCATGATATACTTACTGCCATAAATTATCTCAATAACTCATTTACAGCTGGTCCAGATGAATTACCTACTTTCTTGGTACGTGACTGCAAATATTTGTTTATTCAGCCTTTATTAGCAATATTTAATACCGCCCTCAAGAGTGATGTCTTTGGATCGAAATGAAAGCTGTCTAAAGTCATACCTGTTTTTAAATCTGGAGACAAAGCTGATGTTTCAAAATATCGTCCTATCTGTATCTTATGCAATTTCTCCAAAGTTCTTGAAATTATTTTATACTCTTACATATATCCTCATGTGAGAAACTTTATTTCACCACAAGAACATGGTTTTATTGACGAACGCTCAACTGTCACAAACCTGGCATGTATATCTCAATTTATTGCTGAAGCGATTGGTTCGCAAGTGGATGTAATATATACAGACTTTTCAAAAGCTTTTGACCGTATTGATCACAAAATTTTAACATCTAGGATTTGGTGTAACAGGTTTGGTTTTACATCTTTTAAAATCATATGTTTCTCATAGATCTCAGTATGTCTTCTACAATGGTTTCTCTTCTTTTACACATGGAATACTTACATTATTATTTTCTTACTTAGGACTTGATTTATGTTTTTGTTTTTAATTAATATTTAAATCATCGGTTCAATCTTATTTTTTTTTTGCTTATTTTATAAATATTAATATTGCTCTGTAATAGGCTCTAAGAAATGTAGGGCAATAAAGGTTATTATTATTATTATTATTAAGACCCACCACTGACCCGGAAATGGCCGACATTCAGGCAAGACTTCTATCATTACGGGTACTAAGACCAAGTAATGATATGCATTGATTAGATTAATAAAACAACTTTCGAGATTCTAGAATTACAGCATACAAATTGGTCTGCTATTATTCTCTAATCTCACCCCATCCCCAAAAGTCTAGCGTAACTACCGATCATTTATCCGCGCATCACTTGGAAAGTGACCTACACTACTCTGACCTACTGGTGCTAATATAATCTGACTGACATGATCAGACTGTTCGAGAAACTTACGAACAATATGACATGTTCCTAACAAAACAGCTTTTTGAATTTTGACAATTATTGAATCATTCAAATGCAAAGACTTTAAATTCTCAACTAAGCTATTTGGGACTACACCTACATTTGAGATAACTAAGGGTAGAATTGAAATTTTTTTAAGATTCAACATGGATTTCATTTCTATCGATAATTGTAGATATTTTTAAATCTTGGTGTGGTATGTTTGAATAATGTTGTTTGTGTTAGGAATAGCAATGTCAATCAGAATGGCTTCGTTCGTGTGTTTTTTGATAAGTATGATGTCTGGTCTGTTAGCTGTAATGTTTAAGTCTGTAAGTATTGTGCGATCCCAGTATAATTTGTATTTGTTATTTTCAAGGAATGGAGATGGAATGTAAGTGTAATAGGGTGTCGTATCTTCGATTAAGTTCCTAAGTGTTGCTAATTCTTTGTGAATGATTTTGGCTGCGTTGTCGTGTCTAGCTTTGTAGTCAGTCAGTTTGTGCCAGGATGCTGCAGGAGGAGATTATGTGCTGGATCGTTTCAGGTTTTGCTTTTTTTTTAATTATTAAGCATATTTACGACTGGCTAATAAGTAACAAACTCATATTATTTTAACTTAAGGGTTGGTATAAGAAAAATAAATAAAATTCGAAGGGTTCAATTTTATTATTTACACTTTTACAGTACTGTACACTATCGTTACATAAAAATATTATAAATCATAAAGTAATGCACGATGCTGATCCACTGGCCACATCCTACTGACTGTGCCCCACTGGATCCGATTGTTGTTGTAGCATTTGCAGAATTTGGTTATATTGTTCATTTAATTCACCATTTACACTACCATTAGTAGATGTTATCAACTGTGTGTCCGAATAAGATGCAAAATCATATACTTGCGTGTTCATATGGTTACTATAAGGGTACATTTCATTGGACGGTAGAATCTGGTATCCAGTGCCATTAAAGTTATTGAACGAAATTTGCTCTGGGGACGGCTCTGGAGTTATTGGAAACTGGTACTGTTGATCTTCTTGTCTGATTGGGTTTTGACCATTTGCACTGGGAAGTGAGTACTGCACTGATGGTTGAATTAAATGTCGAAGAACTTGAAGCACTTGTACGGTATTATTAGCTGGTGAAAAATCATGTGGGTTCAGCTGTGCCGGTAAGGTCCCCAAATTCTCCGCCATATCATTGTTCACAATTTTAGGCGACGCAGCTCGACCACATTCTTTCTTATATTTGATTCGTCTATTTTGGAACCAGACTTTTACTTGTTGTTCGCACAATTTCAGTCTTTCCGCCAGATGAATCCTCAGCGACCTCGTGAGATATTTATCTCTATTGAATTCTCCTTCGAGTTCTGAAAGTTGCTGAGAGGTATGTGTCGTGCGAGCCCTTCTCGGAGTCAACTTGGTTTCTTGGGTTTCCTGTTGAACAGCACCTGAGCAAGTTTGTGTTAAAATTAACAATCTAGGGAAATCTTAATTGCAAACTTACTTGTAGTAGCTTGACTGCTGTCCAGCTGTTGGTAGATCGACATGTTGGATTTATAATTCCAGTCAGGGGCGGGTATCTGTAACTTTTGAAAGAAGCACGTAAATATGGAAAAAATGGTTTAGCAATGGTTAATTTAAAAATCAATATCTATTTAGTATTTACCATTTGACCGGTTTGTTGGGAGTCAAAATTATAGTTTCCTTCGCCAGGAGTACCAGCACGCAAAGCGTTGACATTTGGTATAATTAACTGGGGAACTCTCCGCCGTTCGAGAATCTTGACATGGTCACGGTGAACATACACGAAGGTACTGATGATAACTGAGCTTCTCTACAAATTGCGGGGATTATAAAGGTTTTCCCACCCCTTTCTAAAGATTAGTAATCGGTCGCTTCAACTCTATTGGTTAAGATAACAACGTTTCTTTGCACGCACAAATGTGGAGCTAAAAGCCGTTTTTTGACGTAGTCTGACCCGTCGAAAAAATTAAGTTTTTTTTGACTATGAATTCTCTTCTCGCAAAAACATGCGGGAATATTCTAAATAATTCTAATTTATAAATGAAATTATGGCTTTCGTTTATAAATACGACATTAAAGGACCAGTAGATATAGTATGTTAGCTGAGATTAAATTAATTCCACATTTAACGAGGCATTTAGCGACGTCTGATTTGCGTAAAGTCGTCACGTGGTTACGTTAAAGGCGTGTTGAAAATTTAATCGCAATCCAATATTTAATCGAACTTCTACAAACCAGGTCTATATGTGCGATATTTGATGTAAACTAAAATTTAAATTTAATTAACACATAATAATATCAGTTGCTTTAGCGTTAATTGACTAAAATTATAGTTAATCTATACGTAATCGTGGAAGCAATTTATTTTCCCATATTTTTTATAAAAATGTAGTAAAAAAATGTTACAAATTTGTTTCCACTAGGAATATGCATGTTGAAGGAAAGCTAAGTTTGTTTACTTGTTTGTGCGTACCGTTTGTCCTCATTCAAAAACAAGGATACTAATATGTTTGTGTAGCGGTTTACAAATTTTTCTAAAATGTTGGACTACTGTTGATATTTTCATAATACCAGATTTTTTAGACTAAATGTTTCAAGTATATTTTAAGAAAAAATATATTTTTTGTCTATATGATCATATTCGTACATATTTAAGATGACTAATTGCTTTGTTTATACACTTTATAACGTTTAGGGCCACCACGAATAACATTTTGTACAAACGATGTTCACATATTTCTAAAGTTCTTTATTTTATAATGCAACGTTACAATTATATATTTATATGCTAACGTAGATTGTCTAGGTAAGCTTGACATTGCAATAATTTATAACACTGAACAATTTATTTCTACAAAATTATTAATTTGGTTACAGCAAACATGTACGAAAAAGAAAAACTGTGATATCTATTGTATGTACTCCTTTTTCCCTTTATTCACGCATTAAAATTTAATTAATCTTTATCGAAATGTTTTGCGTTTTTCACCCATATTAATTCTGAGAGAAAAATAGAAAAATAAACATTAATTTTCCCCAAACACACGTTAAACTAGAATTTCAATTTATTAATAACTAAAATAAATAATTAATAAAAAATAAAATTTATATTTCTACAAACTAACACCATGTCAAAAACTAAATATTTTGAAACTCAGACGTTCTTACAAATTTTTGAACAAAAAACTTAAACCTTACGGGGACTCGCTAGACGAGGTATAACATTTGTTTGGTTTTTTGTATGAAAAAATTATATTAATATAGATGTATCATACATCAAACTGCAGCTTTTTTCATATTCTAGATCGCAGAGACCAGTTCAATCAATTAAAAAAATATGGGTGAGAAATATCGTAAAAAAAGCACCATTGTATGTTTTCTTTTCAAGTTTTTTGAGTCATAACCATCATAGAATCGCTTGAAAATTCGCACATGGATAGAATATCACTTTTTACAGCGCGCAGAGTCATTAAATGTTTGTTAGTGGTACAATTTGTTTAAATAATAATGTGTTTATTAAAATCAAAATATACCACAAATTAATGCAAAATACGTAGAATAATTTTAACAGGAATATCAGAGGAAAATTAATGATCTATTGGTTAGCAGAGATTTTAACAAAAACTAACAATTATTGAAAAAAATGGGTATCAATTCGACAGATTTTGAGCCGTTAGTTCAGTAGTTTGCCGATAGGAGCGCCGCTAAAATTTACGGAAGCGACTTTCCAGGTAAAACCCTTATCGCCTGCTTTACCATAAGCTGATTGTTAGAGTTCTCGGCTGATTTTTCTAATTTATGGCAAGGAACTCAGTTTTATAACAAGCCGCCAGGACCGGCCGTAGTAATCTATTGTTAAGGAAATTAACTTTTACGCAATGAGGTACTATCATAAAATCGAGATAAAACTGGGGAACTATAATATTTTTACTCCAATCAGGATCCTGAATTCAATACACATGATTACTAAACATTCATTGTAATATTATTGTTAATATATATTTTGCTTTGTTAATTAATAAAACTAATAGGCATATTTATAATAATAATATATATATATATATATATATATATATATATATACATATCATTACTTGGTCTTAGTACCCGTAATGATAGAAGTCTTGCCTGAATGCCGGTCATTTCCGGGTCAGTGGTGGGTCTTAATAAAAAATATATAAAATACAGCTTTTGTTTAACACGTATAAGTAGCTAAGTGTATCTACTACTTATCCCAGAAAGGGGGTGTTTTAAAAAAGCCCTACGCCCAGTAACTTCTCCCTTCATTGTTTACTCGAAAAAAGTGCTCGTAGGTATGTTTTCATTTGCCGAGAGATCATTTTCAAAATATATTTATAATAAAAATATGCAAGTCTGGGTGATGAAAAATGTACTCCTAATAAATTATTAAAGTACATAAAAAAATAGAAACAAATTTTTTTTATTTAAAAAAAATATCTCGCAAATTCAGGTTCCTCTTTCTTCTTAAATCAATTATTTCGGGCAATAATGCGCCAAAGTAAAATCTGCCAAGTTTATCTGTCATCTTTTTACATATTTCTTCGTTTTTTTCTATATTAATTCCTTTGAGACTCAACCATCCTGAAGAATTTTAGAATAAAAACTTCACGTATGATTGAACAAATAAGTATTAACATATTTGTAGAAAAAGTCAGTAACATCACGGACATAATAGTAAGTACATTTCAAAACAGCGGTGCCAGTGGAGCATGTGACTGTGACTTGAGACTATACCTGGTGACAAATCCGTAAGTATTAAAAAAAACTTACTGTTATTGTTAATATTACACTGCAAAAGTATATACTCTATATATATTTAGATTATTTTAGATAAGATTTATTGAGTTGCCGTTAATTTATGAGAAGAGCAAATGGATAAATGTTAAATGTAAAATGTTGATATACTACATTAATTTGTGAAATTTTTGCCAAAAATCTGGAGATCTGTGTCGAATAGTCAATTTGGATTAATAATCTACAGGTGCACAGTACTAGGCAGAATATTTGTACATACCTATATACAATATATTTCAGTAATAATTACTAGGCACAGTTTTGAGATAACGTCTCATACTTTAGCATTTTAGCATGTACGTGATATTCTTGAGACACGTAAAAAGTTGACAACAATTATTATTAAAATGGCAGAAAATGGATGATGGCAACTTTTGGTAATCCACATAAGTATTTGTTAAAATAATAATAATCATATTAAAAATTTTGTACTTTGAAGTGATCTTAGGACCCGCTTTACAGAAGCTCAATTAAATATTTGATTTGGATTAAATTTTTAACACAGCGCTAAAGCACTACGTGACCGACTCTACGCCAATCCGATATCGCTGAATGCCTCGTTAGATGCATGATTAACATAGTATAAACTGGTCCTAAAGATATAAGTTTATCACCATATTTATAAACGTTTGTAGGTCAAGTGGGTCATGCAAAAATTCTCAAAATTATCGTGCTCAAAATTTGCCGCTTTAAAATACAAGGAACGTTATTTCTAAAAACTGAGTCACTGGTTGTCTCTCACCCAGGTGATTCTTAATAAAATTGACAGGAATGACGAATTTTGTTTACGACTACCAAAACAAGTACATACTTCTTATCATTCAAAATTTGTCGATGTTTACAAGAAACTTTGAAAAACAAATTTTATTATTATCCCAGTTTTGTTTTTCTGCAAGACAAGAGGTGCAGATGTTTTCAAAAGCAAATAGCATTTTGCAGTGCAGTTTTTTCAGCTCTGTATGAATTAATTGTTAATTATCATTTGACTAATGCTGTTTAATGATATTTGCATATTTGATAGTTTTATTAATCTATTTTATTATTTTATTTTTTATATTCTTTGATAGATCTACCTATATAATGAAAATCCGAACATTTTACTTAGACGGTGCTTAATGTAGATATTTGTTTTCACCAAAAACATGTACGCTAAGCATTAATTTTCAGTTCCAGTGTTTTAAAATTTGACTCCCGATGCCAGTAGGCGTCCGGTCTCTGTAAACGAAATTGTTTCTTGGAAACAAGCCAACACCTGAAGAGTCGAAATTGTAAAAGGAAAAGTTTACTTACTAAGATTTGCAGCAGATTGACAATGTATAGTCATTATAGGCATAAAATATGAAAATCCGATTTGATGTTTCCAATTTTTCGAAAAAAGAAAGTTAGCTTCCGGCAGGGTTCTTTGAACAAGTTTCTAGTTCCCTGTCGTACTAATAAATATTTAATACGTAATATTATGAACCCTCTAAATGCACAAAGAATCAAATCATTTTCGATGGTTTTTTATGTATCTTGTCAACTCTTCTGGTTTATGTACAAATTAAAACCAAGTATTCGAAAAATATACATAAATATCGTGTGCCTTTTAATCTAAATAACTGATGAAGCGTATTAATTTATTTTTAATAAATGCGTTCAATTACTAGTTTTTGTTAAAATTACGTTTGTGTTAGAAAATATGTTTTGAAGGTGATGGAGTTTATTTATTTTTATTTATTTATTTATTAACGAAAAACTTCTTTTTACATACTTAAAATTATACCAAAAATTCACAGAAAATTATACATTAATTAAATAAAAATAAAAATAACTTAAATTCCTTGTTGGAAGTACTACAACGTAACTTAATCTAATGTAACTAAAAATTAAACTTATATACAAAAAGCAACTAATAATTTCTAACATCAATTTTAAACTTTAATCTTTTCGAATCAAAGATTGATATTTGACTATGGCTAGAAATTTTATTAACAGAATTCATCATTCTAGTTAGAGGGTGGTTTTGAGCAAAATTTGGTGTTCTTGTCGCAATTCTGAAAATGGTTTTGCTCCTTGTCACACGATTACTCACTGTAAGCACACAGAACGAAAGCTTAGTTAACAAATTCGGACAGTCTATAAGTCCGTTAATTATGCCATATTAAATCATTGTCCATATAATAATCGAAATTAATGTGTGACTTTGTATTAAAAAAAGATATTATATGGCACTTTTTAATATTTAAAGGAAGCCAGTTTTCATCACACCAACTATACAATTTATCCACATCCAGCTGCAGTCGTTTCGAATCTTAAACAGAACGTATTATTGCAAATAATTTCAAGTCATCCGCATACAACAAATAATTGCAATATTGAAAACACCATGTCAAATCATTAATAAATAGTATAAAAAGAACTGGCCCACAAAGTGAACCTTGAGGAACACCAGATGAAGCCCAAAACGAATCTGAAATAAAATTATTAATACGAACCTGTTGCCATCTATCATAAAGAAATGAAGGTAACCACTGCACTGTCAAATCTTTAAAACCCAGTTTTTGAAGTTTTATAATCAGTAACCGATGACATGATCAAATGCGGACTGATTACATACAACCCTGTAGTTTTCAATTTTATCATGTTAGCCCGATTTAAAAATAGGAATGATGTAACTATTCTTCCATCTTTTAGGAAAAATACCTCTTTTGTATGGAATGCATTACTCAAAGCCAGCAAATATTATATCATAGAAAAGTGCAATCATTTCATCTAAATCCTTGCCCACCAAATAAAAATCCCAACATATGGAAGAATAAAAGTCATTTAAAAGAGTATAGTTTCCATTAGCAAAATCATAAAAACGACTTTCCGAACGTACTCCAAGAGCAAGGAACATGATGAATACTTTCGGGAAAAATAGGAGCTAAGGCAGAAGAAATTTCAAGATTGATAATGTTGAAAAAATAAGGTCTAAAAATGCATTTCTACTATTAGGAATTGTATTTACTTCTTTTAGATTTAAAAATGGGCAAGTCGTGCTGACAACATTATGCAACTTCTGCGATGCAGATGACTGATAAGTTTCATTACCGTCCTTAACAAAATTCGGCAAATTGAAATCACCAGCGATAATAAATGAAGAATCGGGAAATCGTTTAAAAATTGTTTCTAAATCAGAGCAAAAGTCCTCATAAATATTTAAGGCAGAAGCAGGGGGAATATACACTCTCCCAACAATCAGGTCTAAGTCATTATATTTTAAATGTACAAACATACTTTCAACCGACTGACCCCGTAGAACAACGTAAGTGTGCACGCGGGGTGCCGTGACTTAACTTTGCGTGAAGGACCGAGAATAACTGAGAAGTACCACTAACCTGGAGTATCCTGCTGGCGGTGACAGGGGCCCCTGGTTCTTGGTAGCCTGATTTTGAGAAGTACAACGAGGAACACGCGAGAGGAAAACCGTTCACTCATGCACCTTTTACGTTCAGTAGCGTACTACTTCCGCTCACTCGCGCGTGCGCCGGAATGGAGCACTTACTGTTCGAACATAACCGCCCACCAATTTTAACAAAATTTAACGAAAAATTAAACGAAAATTAAAGAGAGTTCTTTATGCACATTATGAGAGCTCACTCAATTCTCCATTGAGAATTGGGTTGGGAGAATCACGAGCTTGTTTACCGGACGCGTATATAAACCGGTCGAGGTTTTCACTGTGGCCACACGGACGACTCCATCGGTTCCAGGATGTACCTCTTGTACGCGTCCTAACGGCCATGAAAGGGGGGTAGTTTCTGCGCCATACAATGCGACAATGGCGCCGGGTTGAATGTTTGGTTGATCCTTATTCCACTTCTGACGTTGGAGTTGAGTATGGAGATACTCCGTAGACCACCTCTTCCAGAACCGCTGATACAGCTGGGAGAGCAGTTGCCACCGACAGGTCCAATTCAAGTTGTCCTCCAAGGGAGCTTCAGGAGGTTGCAATAACGGTCTGCCGACTAAGAAATGTCCAGGGCTTAGGTAATCTACAGCGTCTTCTGGGTTAGAGGTGACGGCACATAAGGGACGGCTGTTCAATACCGCCTCAATCTTACAAAATAGCGTGCTGTACTCTTCGAAAGTTAAGAGAGAGGTGCCGATTGATCGATACAAGAGACTCTTTGCGGATTTGATCGCAGCCTCCCATAGGCCGCCAAAATTGGGGGCGGCTGGAGGGTTAAAATGCCATTTTATCTCCAAAGAAGTTAAGGAACTCGTTATCTCAGAGGAGTGCGAACGTAGAAACTGACTCACCTCCCTCAGGTGGCGAGCGGCGCCGAGAAAGTTACGTCCGCAATCAGAGTATATGTCAGAGGGTAGACCACGGCGTGCGGTGAATCTGTTGAGCGAGGCTAAGAAGGCTTTCGTGGAGAGTTCCGAGACCATTTCTAAATGGACCGCTTTCGTAGACATACATATGAATAAACAGAGATACCCTTTGTATGTGTGGGCCTTACGTCGACGACTTTCCCTGACCGTGAAGGGTCCGGCAAAGTCAATGCCAACAGAGGAAAACGGTTTGCTAGGTTGAACTCGAGCTGGTGGTAGATCAGCCATGAAGGGAAATACAGGTTTCGATTTAAACTTAAAACAGCGAATGCAGCGAAAAATGCGCTGCCGTAGGAGGGATGGAATCGATATTATCCAGAACTTCTGCTGTATAAGCGTCTGCACGCTTCTAGGTCCAGCGTGGCAAGCGTACAGATGATAGTAGTCGCAAATTAAAGCCGAGAGATGAGCTTTCTGAGGTAAAAGCAGAGGGTGTTTCGCATCTAGGGGAAGGGCGGAGTGTCGTAGCCGTCCGCCCACCCTAACTATACCCATTGCATCCAAGAATGGGAACAGCTTCCTTAATGGAGTTGTGGTGTGACCTTTGGAACGCAACTCTTCTATAAGCAGAGGAAAATGGTTTTGCTGTGTGAGACGCACAAGCGATAAGGTCGAGTATCGCATCTCTTCGCTTGAGAGTGGACCCTTCATCTCGGGACATCTTATTCGGAGTAGCCATCGGCGAATAAATGCGAAAGCGCGTTGTAGTCTACTAAATGAAGAAAATCGTGACACAACTTCATACAGAGGATTTTCTGGGTCGGCTTGGATGCGCAAAACTATAGGATCGTTTTTACGCTCAGGGAGCTCTTCGGGTGCGACATAATTATCGCCTCTTACGGGCCACTTGGACGGCGGATTCTGCATAAAATCTGGTCCATTCCACCAGGAATGACAATCCATGATCTCTTCGGGAAATAATCCTCGAGACGCAAAGTCGGCTGAATTTTGATTCGACACTGTGTGTGCCCATTGGTGAAGAGATGTATGCTCTAATATGCGAACTACACGATTGGCCACGTAGGTTTTGAGAAGATGAGGAGAGGTGTGGAGCATGCAAGGACAATCTGAGAATCGGTATAGAGATGAACATTTTCAAATCTTACGGCTTTAAGAGATTTAATCACATCACGAAGTAGTCTAGATAATAACAACGCTCCAGACAGAGTTCCAATCGAGGAATAGTCAATGTCTTGAGGGGTGCCACTTTGTTCTTGGCCTTCAAAAGATAATTGCTACAAGTGCTACTGGAATCATACGCATGTAAATAGATGCAAGCGGAGTATCCTTTAGAGGAAGCGTCCGAGAATCCCACCAAGAGCAAACGTGGCAAACTTTGGAGAATGTATCGAGGAATTTTAAGTGAGCGTAGACACCGCATTTGAGAAGAAAACCTTCCCCAAGCCTCCGATAGGGAAGGCGGCAGGATATCATCATAGCCCACTTTAGAGATCCATATCTGTTGCAGAAAATGCTTAGCCCAAAATACAATTGGAGATAACCACCCCATGGGATCAAAGATTCGAGCGATATAAGAAAGAACAGTGCGCTTGGTAACTTGAGAATCAAATTCTTGTACATAATAGGTGAAAGTATCAGACCGAGGATCCCACCGTAATCCAAGAATCTTAATAGAAGGATCGTCACTTGAGAAATTCAACGGAGATTCACGATGCTGTTCTGGAACATGATCTAGAGCAATTGGATCATTACTAGCCCATTTTCTCAGCTGGAAACCGCCACGATTGAGTAGGTTTGCGAGTTGTAACTGTAGCGACTTCGCTTCCTCAACCGTAGAGGCACCATGCGCAATATCGTCCACATAGGTGCTTTCTGTGATAGCTTGTACTGCCAATGGGAACTCATGCCCTTCGTCCTCGACGAGCTGGAGAAGGACACGTTGAGCAAGATATGCTGATGGTGCTAAACCATATGTCACTGTTTTTAACTCATACTCCTGCACATTAGAAGCGGGATCTGGCCTCCAGAATATGTGCTGGAGATAACGTTGCTTTGGATTCAACCAAATCTGTCTATACATCTGTTGATTATCCGCTGTGACTGCTATAGCATGAAGGCGAAAATTCATGAGAATGTGGCTCAAATCCTTTTGTAGCTTAGGACCGGGCAGAAGTTGCTGATTAAGCGTTGTCCCGTTTGAGTCAGGGGAGGATCCGTTAAACACAACTCGCACTTTGGTAGTTGAACTAGTTTCCTTTTGAACACAATGATGAGGCATTACGTACATGGAAGGTTGTGCGGCTAGTTGCATATGTCCGAGATCGCGGTATTCTTGGAGAAAAGTAATATAAGCAGCGTTGAGTTGGGGACGCCGAGACATTCGAGCTTCCATTTTGAGATAAGTGTTCAGAGTTGTCTCTCGGTTGCTGAGAAGCGGCGAGCGCTGCTCACGGACTGGCATTGATACCACATATCTGCCTGAGCGATCGCGATAGTGCGTGTCCTTGAAATGAGCTTGACAAAAGTCATCTTCAGGATTTGAGACTGAAAGGTTATCAGCAAGAGTCTCGGTTTCCCAAAACTTACGAACGGTATCATCAAGAGAATCGGTGCATGTGAGAAGAGAACACAAGGGGGAATTTGTTGAAGATGAAATCGAGCCTATAATTATCCATCCAAAGATTGTGTCAATGGCAGAGGGTTGTCCTTGAATAACATTAGGCTGCGTATTACATAAAATGTGAGGATATAGATCTGCTCCAATTAAGAATTCAACTCGAGCAGCTTGATGGAAGTTTTCATCAGCTAACGTTAGATGACTGAACTGATCCTTAATGTGAGAAGGTAACGTCTGACTAGGAAATTTATTAGGAATATCCGAAAGTACAACAGCGTGAACGTTTACGACATCAGCACGAGTTCTAGAGCGTAGAGTGGTACGAATGAGACCTTGAGTTCGGACAGGAAAACTGGCGATGCCAGTAACTTCAATGGGAGATCTGCTTCTTTTTAATCCCAAATGTTGCGCCGTTGATGAAGTAATCACTGATACTTGAGAGCCGGGATCAACCACAGCTCTTATCTTGTGATAATCTCCATTACAGTCTTGGATCTGGGCTGTCACACTCGCTAGTAAAACAGTGTTGCGCTCCGCTGAGGTCTTGCACGAAAACACAACGGGAGATTTTCTTTCCTCTACAGAGGGAGAAGTACTAGTTCCGGAGGTATCCACCTTGGACTCCTGGTGTAACACGGAGTGATGCTTGTTGCTGTGACAAATACGACAAGTTTTACGAGATTGACATTCATTTCGATTATGAGCACCCAAACAGTTGAAACATCGTCTCAATCTCTTCAACGTATCATATTTCTGTTCATTTGTTTTCTGGAGAAATTCGTTGCATGCCGGAAAGGGATGTGAACCTTTGCAGAGCACGCACGGGACAGAGCACGTAGAGGAGGCATCGGATTTGGCATTTGTCATGAGTGAAGCACGGAATGACTTAACTGATAGAGATTTACATTTCGGTGATTTTGTGTCCTGAGAGAGAAGTTCGTACGTTCGATTCTGATCCGTTATGAAATCAATTAACGCCTGATAGCTGGGAACGGAATTTGAACTTTGCCTATTCTCAAAAGCTTTTCTAGATACAGGATCCAAATTTGCAAACGATAATTGAAACAGCAAAAAATCACCAAGGTCTTGAAGATTCAAAGCCTTAAGAACATTAATGGAATTCGAATGAATATTCAAAAAATGTCTCAAACTGCTAGAACTTGGGGATGATAAAGGAGTAAAACCTAGAATTTGATTGACGTAGTGAGTCGCCAACCGTCTTTTATTCTGGTAGCGAAGTTGCAATGCCTCATACGCCAGTGCGTAATTTTCGGGGGTTAAATGAAAATTGGCAATGACTGTTAATGCGTCATCTCGCAGATAAGAGCGCAAATACTGGAATTTTTCAGCTTCTGATAACGCATCGTTTTTGTGGACAACCGAATCGAACAGTGAGAAAAACGCCGACCATTCTTCGATGCGACCGGTGAACGTAGGGATATTTATTCTGGGCAAATGCTGGTTGCTGTTGGCGACCGAATTACTGCTGGTTTGCTGCGGAGGTTGTGTCTTCACCAGGTCTAAATAACGACCACGTGTGTTAAATACTAAATCATCGAAAGCTGTTTGCACCTTACAGACTTCGAGAGCATGGCGATTATCCAATAAATCTGCATTTAGCTGAATAATTGCATTCTGAGTCTTATCCATTTCTATCTCAATAACCTCTAGTTTTTCGTACCGAGGCTTGAACTGAAGAGCTGTATCAACGGTGGTTCTCTTCACGGAGTCATAACAGTTTTGAACTTGAGCAAATAACTTTTCCAGTGTAGATTTCAGTACGGCGAGCTTCTTAATTTGAGATTGCAACAATTCTTCGTTAGTCATTGCGGCGATACGCGATAAAGCGTCGATCGAGAAACCGATAAACCGACAAATTTGAGGTTATGATCCGGCTTCGATTAGGACCAAATGTGCACGCGGGGTGCCGTGACTTAACTTTGCGCGAAGGACCGAGAATAACTGAGAAGTACCACTAACCTGGAGTATCCTGCTGGCGGTGACAGGGGCCCCTGGTTCTTGGTAGCCTGATTTTGAGAAGTACAACGAGGAACACGCGAGAGGAAAACCGTTCACTCATGCACCTTTTACGTTCAGTAGCGTACTACTTCCGCTCACTCGCGCGTGCGCCGGAATGGAGCACTTACTGTTCGAACATAAGAATCCAAATCTTTTTTTACTGTTATTAACACTCTACCACCACGATATTCAGCTTAACTTCAACATCACGATCTGTACGAAAAATGTTATAATTATTTAAGCACAATTCACCATTAGAAATACTACTGCACAACCATGATTCTGGAATAACAAGAACATCATAAACACAAGAACTGACGTTCAAAGAAAAATCTTTTAACTTAGTCCTAATACCGCCTACATTTTGATAATTAAAATTAATTAATTTTTTGGAAGAATGTTACTGGAAGTGCTCTTACTAGTAATATATGCCAGATTGTTTTTATACTTAACAGTTAGATCGGATTCACCTTTGGACAACCTATCTCTAAAATCGTTCAAAACAGATTTGTTAAAATCACGTTGAATCCTGGTCAGATCAGGACGAAAATGATTATTTCGATTGGAGTTGTTTTTATTAGAGCGAAGAATTTCTTTAGCCACCCCTTCATTATTACACACAATCTTTAAAGGACGAATACTGTCAGGTTTGTAAGAGCCAATACGAATAACTTTTTTGGGTTTAGGGAATGACCCTAACGGAGACAATATATCCATAACTCGATTAATATCATTATCGACTTTTTGCTGAGTTGACGATGCTTCAGATTCAGGAATATTATAAATTAATACATTAGAACTACAACGTTTCCGATCCTCCATTTCTGAGATAATAACATTTATGTCACCAGCAGCACCAGTGGTGTTTTGGACTGTATTTGGTAATGATTTTTTAAATACATTCCATTCCTCTTGAATTGTACAAACCTTATTTTCTACCGCTGTTAGTCTGTCATTGATATTCTTAAAATGATCATCTATAGTTGCTTGAATCTCTAGTTTCATAATAGTTAATTGTTTCTTGATAATATCTTCAATTAATTCAGCGGATATCACATTAGCAGAACTGGAAGCAGAACAACATTTAGAACATATCCATGGAGATCTTTTATTAATGATTTCGGCAATTTCGTCCTCACTAAATTTTAAACACATACGCGGTCCGTCGTGGTGACTAACAATAACACATACAAATTGGGCCACGGAAGGGAAAAATTAGAGGAAGCACAGGAAACAATTTGTAAGCCACAGTCTTATGGATGTGTGTACAAAATTAATTGAAATAGCAGTGATAATTTTTATCGTGTAGGTGGACTTACACAAAACAGAAGAAGTCATCGAATATCCTCACAATCTCAAAACTCACTCAGTTTAACCGTATCAATCTTAGTTCATGAGATACACAATTCTAGTCATCAACCACCTTCCAAAATTCTCGGAAAATTTCCCATTTTTTACCACTTAAAACCTTGAAAAGACAAGAGCACAAACCTCGAAGGTTTTTCTTTAAAAGTTCTACACTCAACAGAGTACATACCGGTAAAACTTCTATAGTCTGCAATAACATTGGTTAAAAAAACTACTTTTTATGCATTTGAATGTGGTAAAATCCCATTTTTGAAATATGCATAAATTAGAGATGTACCGACTATAGGTACCTGACCTGACCTGACCTGACCTGACCTAACCGACTAGCCGATTGTTCGGCCAGTAAAAACCGACTGTTTTTTTTTCTATTTCTCTGACTACCTTAAAAATTTGTTTTATTGTAATAAAAGGAATAACTAAAGTTCCTTTGTTTTCCAAAAAATGTGTTAAATTTGTTTGGATAATTTTAACATTTAATTTTTTTTAGTAACTTAGTACAAAAATAAAGAATAAGACAATTTAGGGCCAGTTTATACAATATTTTAACTAAGATTAAGTTGATCGCGCATTCAACAAGGCCATTAGCGACGTCTAATTGGTGTAGAGTAGGTCACATGGTACTTTAACGCGGGGTTAAAAATTAAATCGCAATTAAATATTTAATTGAGGTTCTGTAAACCGGGTTTAATTGTTTTATATACTATTTTAATTTTAATAAAAAAAGCCGACCGATCGGCTGTTTAGCCGACTAGTCGCCGACTGCCAGCCGACGATGAAAAACGGCCGAATAGTCGGCTTATCCCACCGGTCGGCCACTAGTCGGTACATCCCTAGCATAAATATAAAACACGATTTTTTTCAAAATATTTAAAATGTTTTTATTTTTTGACATCCGATTGACATTGACAGGCCTTTTACTACTAAATTATATGCCCTTAAAAAAAGTTGATCTGTTCGAGCTTTTTTTTTCTGGAAATAGATTTGAACGTAATGATTCAATTACTAGAAACTACATCATTTAATCCAGAACTCTTTTTTTTTTTAGAAAAGTGCAATCAATAAGCCGTACTTCAGTTAAAGTTGATAGTGATGTTAATTTGAATTTTGTTAATGACACTTAGTTGAATTAAAAGATTAGTCGAGGGGGCTAAAAACGTTTTGCAAACGACATATAAAATTCTGAAAGACATTTAAAAATAAAATTATTTTTTAGGATCGATCTAGGTCTGTTTTGACTAATGACTGTATTTCTTCATTATCTCATATCGTTTTTCACTTAAAAAAAACGTCTAGAGTTAATTATACAGAACTTTCTTCGCAACTGAAGTTGAACATTTAAAATTATTAAAATAAAAATTAAAATTGTCGCAGAGGAAAAAATTAAGACGAAGATGGGAGTCGAATGCACGCAGATGGGAGCTTAAGTCCTTACCCACTGAGTAATCATGCGCTTGTTATGTGTGATAGGCAAATATCATGATATAAAAACTTCGCAATTATTGTATCATGGTCAAATATCGGTTACGTGAAATTCGCGGCAAATATTGTACAAGAGTTTTTGTAACCTAATTGTGATAAAAATCAAGATTGATTCATAAACAACAGAACGCCCTGAAATCTTGCAAACGCTTTAAATTTATCGTAATCCTGGTAAATCGTTAATCAAAATTTATTCGTTTATCTTCTCCCAAAAAATTGATGGTCATTTCAAAATTTTTCAGAAAAAATAATATTTAAAATGTGCAAAATATTATGACTGTGTGCTTGTAGTTTACTAATGGACGCATAGTTTTTAGAATTACTTATACTGGAGGATCCAAAAAAATTAATGAGTGAGACATTTTTATTGTATTGATTAAATTAAGGACGACTCACTCCATTTTCCCGTAAATTTGGCAATACAGTACTGTTGTTATTAGTATTACACTGCATCTATCCAAACTGATTTTCGGTTCTTGCAAAAATGTTGATGACGTGATCACAAAATTTTGTATTGGAGAAACTCACTTTAAACAAGTGCGTAGCCTTTGCCTTTACTTTAACACTACATACACATTTTTATTTTCACTTAAAAAGGTCCACATAAAAAAAAATAAATTCTTAAAATCAAATGATTTTCGAAAAAGCTGGAGTTGTACCCAAGGGAGGAAAGTTCTGTCGAAATAACCTTCGACTTATTTTTTTTATGGTAACCCTTGGGTTAAAATAATACGTTGTTGATACGTATCATATTAGCCAGAACAATCATAAACATGTAATATAAATATCAACCAAAAATTGTTTAAGCTTTCTGCTGGCCATCGGTAAATGTATTTTTATTATTTTATTTTGAAAGTCGTTGAGCAGCGTACGTTTCGACAAAAATTGAGCATTTTTGCTAGATTAAGCATCCCAAAATACTTATTAGTTCCCATGAAAATTTATTATTTATGGCCCACACAGTAGGGTCTTTTAAATACCTCAGACATAAAGGATGATGTAGGTAAAATTCTTACACGGTATTAGTTGAACAGATATATAGGGCGCAGTGTGCACTTTCACTAATTTTAATGACGTTTAACCATCCATCATTGTAAATCTGTCTACTTACTTGGACCTCTGTCTTTGAAATATATGACCGTATAGTAAACCCACTTGTTCGCTATTGTTCGTTAATGAGGCTGCAAAGATTTACTAGGTATACTCAAGGCATGCAAAAGTGAGACACTTAACTTTTAAGGCACCTTAGGATCTCCCATACTCAGATACTGAGAATTTGTAATCAAATATCCCACCCAATTTTTTTTGACAAAGAAAAACAATATATTTGCCAACGATAAATGAACAAATGTAATAGTGGTAATGTTTGAGGCACATAGGCCGTTATTTAGCATGATCAACAATTTTCTAAAACGTTTATTTTATTCCCTCGTGTTTTAAATACTGGCAACAGCATTTTCATTTTTAATTTTTCATGTAAGACCCTGTAGCTGTATCTATTTAGAAAAATATTTATTAAAATTTTGAAAAATAAATATTAATTAGAAATTATATAAAAAGATGTACAGGATGTCTTCCTTGTACATAGTTTTAAGTCTACAGGGTATGATAAATAATTGCGAATTTACTGGTCCCTAAAATTTAATCCGTCAAATTTTGTCCTTTGGAGCGACCTTAAATGTATAAGTATCTCAGCGTGTCTATAAATGTTTGTATAGTAGACCAAAAGCTATAAGGTTATATGGCCATCATAAAATCGTCCCATTGTGTCGAAGTTAAGTTGTTTACAATAGAAAATTTTTTAGGGTCGTAAATAACGTGCCCACTGCAGCTCGACCGTCTGTTGTGGTCTCGTTCAGGGGCAGCTTTTACTAAATATGTAAATCCACCACTCCACTGTCTCTTTACTCCAAAATAACCACTCGCTTTGAAAGCCGGCCCTGTTAAATGTGAGCAAGAAA